AAATTTGGGCAATTAAACTTTTCGAGGGGAAGATACGGTAATTCGTATCCCACGGTGGAAGGGAGAGAAAAGTGTTATGTTAATTTAATCTGATTTACTTTTTTCTGGGTGCCCACGGAGCAGCGCTTTGTTGATATTGCCCGGCCACAAATGGTGGTCACTTTCTTCAAATGCCATAACACACATCTCACCTCGGCCTCTTGCATGATCTCGGTCAAGTGATTTTTGATGCGCAACACTTGCTCACTTGCTGACGGCCTTCTCATCGTGTCTGGCGCGCAAAAGAATAAATTTATTATTTTGTTATTTGCTAAGTGAGTATGAAAAATCGATTTGAGTCGCGCAATCATCATCTTGGCAATTCAGTTGGTCTATTCGGTGTCTTCGCGCGCTCTTCGTCATGCAAGAGATCTTGACGAACGGTGGCATAAATCAATGAGGAAATTTATTGAGCTACTGTTTCAAATCGCTTTGCACCTCGGCAAACAGTCACGTGTTTGGGGGCCCAATTGATGTTCACACTTTCTTGAAATTTTCACGGAAATCTTGTGCGCAAACACAGCGCAAATGGATGCATTAATGGGGAAATGCAAAGATGCCAGTGGCATTGCAAATGGCAGAACCATTAATATTTATTTCTATTTTCCAACTTAATTTACAGTAGGAAATTAGAAAATTTCTGTTCGGCAATTGGAGTGGAAAGATTATTTAGAATTTTTTTGTGTAAGTTTCACGCTTCTCGTGAATATATTGAGTGTTTTAATATTAAACAAAAAATTACTATTCAGTGGGGTTGAGCTGAATTAAAATGAATGAAATGACTTTCATTTTCAAATACAGTTTAACAGTAATGAGATCACCGGTTTGTTTAAAAAGTCTCAAAATCTTATTGACTTGGCCGCGTTCTGTGGCATTAAAAGCACCTCATGACTGATAAAATCTGTTTTCATACCAAAGAACTCATCCAGTGTTGAGATTAGCGTGTGATTCCTTGGGGCGAAATTGTTGAATGTTGCTGATTTGCAACTTTCTTTGCATCTTTCCATAATTTCCACTTAATGCTGCACTTCTTTGCCCTGCAAATGCTCGCGAGTTCGCCCACAAAATCACACCATAGAGCCTCAACTTCTCTGCTGATTATCGCAGAAACCCACACTGTCTGTCGCGGCAAGGGGGAGATAATGCGGCTAAATTGTGTACACCACTTCCTGTCACGTCCTAGAAAGATGTAAAGAACCCTTTTTCTCTTTTCCTTTTGAATGCGCCGTGTTGAAAAAAAAATCCATTTTTCAAATACTTCCACTGAGCTGTACACCACTTCTGGCCATAATATCTCCCCCTTGTGTCGCGCCTCCTCAGGATGTGATCCAACAATAGAGCGAGCCTGCGATGTAACAGCAAGAAGTGGTTCATTGTGTGACGAAGCTGAAATGCTGGGCATTCAATGGTGTTTGCCACTTTTGCTGACTCCGGTGGCCTCTGGGGCGAAGTGTATTTGTCCACGCGAGATCGTCCGCGGCAACATGGGAAAATCAGTTTAATTGCAAAGATAAATCATGATTCCATTAATTCCTATGAAATTTCAAATACGAACTTAATGTGCCATCTCCATGGCGAGACCTCACGCGATAACGAGAGCTCTCAGTGACGGTGAAATGTGACGATAATGATCGTGTGTCGTCAGTGCGCGATAGCGAAAAGAATTTAAATTGAAACTGTACTTTATTTGTCTTGAGATTTCTTTTCCCGCATTTCATCATCATCCAATGTGAGCACATTAATGGACTGAGATTGCTCAAATAATTTACTCTTCCGACTCATCATCTGTGCCGCAGAGTCCATTCTTCGCGAGTGCATTTCCGATAAGCAAATATTTGCCTGCTCGGCCGCGGTGATGAATGTGTGAATTTTTCACCTCTCGCGGTGGGTTTTCAGGCTGCGGAATCAGTCAATATGTTGTCTGTCACCGGGCAGACCTCCTCCATGAGCGCGCGTCTCTTGATTAATTTGCAATTGTACTTCCACGGGACATGTTATCTGCGCACAGGCATTCCCGTCAGCGCGCCTCGCGTGTGGGAGCCCCAGAAGATATTCGATGTTTTGACATGAGGCCATCAGTGTCAGCGGAATTGCTCATTTTTCAATTGATCGCGCCAATTTATTCTCTCTCGCTCAGGTTCATAACGGTGCCCATCGATCGCCAAGATCGATGGACACCCGAAAAGAATGTCCCCAGAGACACATTGATGAAATAATTGCACTGCTGAGAATCACTTGTCTTTTGACACCTCTTTCACTCAACTACACTGTCATGACTTCACCACGTTTTCGCTCGGAGACTCTTAATGCTGATATAATTGGATTTTTGTACTGCTTATTTTCACAATTTAAGTTCCTTAATGAGCTCAGTGCAATTTGCTCGTCGCTCTTATTAGGCATTCTTGGTGCAAAAAGGGAAATCATTAAGAAGAAATCGTTTATATTTTCGACAAGAGTTAATCATTCGCTGATACTGAATTTAATTAAGGGGCATTGCAACTTTATTCCCATAACATTATAAATAAGCTGTCAGTGTTATGTATTCGGGAAACTGCGTTGTAAGATTACGAGTTATAACATTTTACTCCTGAATTCTAATGTAGACGCCTAAAGTCAATTTCTTATATTAGAAGAAAAGCCAAATACAAAAACTGTAAACCTGCAACGACCCCTCAAAGCAGAGTATTTTTGATTGCATGATGTGAAGATTACAAATGTCTCTTAAGAACCCTGTATCAGTGGGTTAAGCGCTGTGCACGTGCTCATCAGCGGGGAAATGATGTCGAAAAAGGCCCTCTTATCACGATTGTCACCTTGTGTTCTCTTGCGGATCTCGAGAGGTGTTGATAAAGCACTTTTTCCAAGCATCTCATTATGCATTTGGGTCAGCAGAGGCGAAAAACTGCACTTCTGCACCTCTTATGGGCATCTCATGCCTCCTCTATTGCCAATGCAGAGACAGAACAATAAAATTAATCAATGCACACGTCCGATGTGGCGGATCGTGTGTGGCGCGCAGAGGTGAGAAGATCATTTGGTGGGTTCACGAACGAAACTGGTTGTCTTAGGCGCGGAGCAATATCCGATTTTCTCCCGGCTAAGTTGCAATAATTGGCAAGTCACTGGCGATGTCTTGAAACTTTGTCGGGGTGATTTATGGCCACTCGGTCAGAATCCGCGCCGCGCCAAGTGAATGTATGCGGATGGAGGAGTGCGACAGGAGGAATGGCAATTAAATGCCACCACATTGTAATCCAGCGGAGTCGCCAACGGAAGTCTCGCGGTCTGACAGGAACAATTACCCGGAGTGACTCAAGGTCAATTGGAGTGGGATGTTCATGGGAAGAGGGCCCCCGAAAATGGCATCGGGATGTCAAGGAGTGATGGAGTGTGTTAATTAGAATGACGAGATTGTCTCTATTCACTTGCTCAGGAGGGACTTTCGAGAGATTCTCACAGGGTCTCGGCGTTGGGTTGCAATTAACATGATGGGAGTCGAACGTTCTCGCTGGCTGTGTTTCTGCGGCGTGGCATCAATTAAGAAATATTTCAGAATCGCATAGACTCTTTAGCATAATGATGCGGCCGACAGAGAGACTTCCACTCCTCTGGATTCCGGCCGACTTGCGGTGCAGTGGTTGGGAAAAATTCCTTGATGGGAAGACAGAAACATAACTTCGGTATCACAGTGTGAAATTTAGCATTTTGAAGAGAAGACGAACAACGGGTGGATCGGCTCGGGCATTAGCAGAAAAAGAATATACACTGGAAAAACTGAAAATTATAGGAAAATACGGCTACGAAATCCTAAAATATATTTTATAAAGTTTTTTTCAAAAATCTGTGAACGGACTTTTAGGAAAAATTACAAAATAAAATCACAGAATTTGCTATTAAAGTTAAAAAAATCATTTCCAACGATAAAAGGCTTTTTTAACAAATCTGTAAAATTTATTTAATTTTTCCGTATTGAATAATTATCATACAGTCGCCTCCCTAAAAAGCTCATATGGGAAAAATTGCCATGTATTTTTCTCAGTGCAGAACGGCGGCTCATCCTGCTGCGGGAGCATCTGAAGCGGATGCTTTTTCCCTCTCGGATGCTTTTCTTTCTGCCATATGCAAATCGCGCTAGATTTTTTCACTCTTCACCTTGTTCGCTGTGAAAATCTCTTACATGCTTTAAGAGGAGGAAAGAAGAAAAAACCCGCCGTCTTGTGCTGAATTGTATTATGTGGCATCTTTTGAGTTGAACAGAGGAAAAACAGTTATGACAATTTTAAATCTTCTTTAGCATACATTCATATGTGCGTCTTCGCACAGGCGAAACTGTGTCGATGTCACTGACTAAAGAATTTTCATGCACAGTACGAGCATGAGCTGAGATTGGGCTGGAAGGCAAAAAGAAGATTGATAGAAAGTAAAATTCATTCACTAATTTTTTCTCTCCTCCTTCGCTTGCTCTATGTTTACTGGCAATGGAGCGAGAATTGAGTGGAAAATGAGTCAATTATTCTTGGCACTGCAAGAAGTACTGTAAAAGGGAGAAAATATGTCCTACAAATATGGTCAATGCCTCTGATAATTATGACAATAAATTACCTCTTGTGAAATAAAAACTTCCTCTTTCCATCTCAAGCTCAAGTTCGTGGTTTATTTCTTTCACTCAATTGCCTCTCGATCTCGCGAGTGTGTTTTTTCACTCTGTGGCTCACAAGAGTGGCATAGAAATGATTGTAGGTGTACAATTTCATGCTCTACTTGATTAAACTGCCCATAATCGTGTGGTTAGACAGACTTACATCACGCAATGCGCGCTGCGGACGAGAGAGTTTTCGGGTTCGTCGTTTGGCGCACTCAAGTCTTTCGTTCGCATTTGTCACAGTTTCCGTCGCGACTCCGCCACATATGCACTAATGTGATTTTCTGCTTACACTTTCAGGCCACGTTGGTGCTCCAGAATGTGGAGCGCAGTGAAGGGTCCTACAAGACTGTGGGACCTTAGCCTCATCTTTCTAATCCTGCAATGTACAGTAAGTATCTCAATCTGCAATCGCGCCACTGGATCTGTCTCTCGATGCTCCCATTCGGTCGCCACGCGAGATAAATGCCCAATGTGAGATGGCAATTAATCTCTCTTGAGCAGTCTGCAAAATTAAATGGTCATTTTCATTAGCACCCAGACACTATTTGTCCATGGGTGTTCAGGGAGGGCAGCGATATCCCAGCAAAAAGCCAGCCAAACGCTCGCAATTTATCTTCCGGACAATTCCCTCTCTCTCTCTCTCATTTGGTAAAAATAGCAAATTCACGAGCAACGATATTTAATTATACAAACCGCAAATTTTACAGTACACACAATTGATTCCTCCTTGTATAGTGAATATTGCTCTCTTGCCATGGCCACTGAACAGTTGGCGCTCCGAATAGCATTTGCAGTGGAAATTTCGCGAGGGAAAACACTGCCCGAGAGCGTCGCAAAACATGAGTAATTAGACACGTTTTTTCACGTGTACAACAATGCAATTACCATCGAACTATTGCACAAATCCGTGCTCGCTTTTCTGCTTCCCAGTGACCCAATTTCTCAGCATATCCATGGCGGAGAGTCTCATTTTCGCCCGGCGTCTCCCCTTCGGTGATCCATCACCCGGGGAGGCGACGTGTAACATGTGGGAGACAGAGAAAAATGTTTGGCGATGTTAAAAGTCGGAAATTAATCTTCGTCTTTTGATGTTGAGGCACGCTCTTGTTTTTCTTTCATGCCACAATGGCTCTTTTTACACTGAGGGAAAATCGGGCTAGAATTTAGTCGATTTCGGCATTAATAGTAATTAGTAAATTTTATTCTTATTCAGTAAAAAACTATTTTAATTTGATGAAGAAATCTCTTTTTTCTTAAATGTATGACAAATTCTAATTAGTTTAACGAAAACTATAATTTACCGAAAAGGACTCAAAATTAGGTAGACTCAGGCTAATTTCAAGACCTTTTCTTGGTAACTGATTTCAAGAATACTCATTTCCGTGTTCAAGAAAACATTATTTCTCTGAGTGTTCCTTCAATTTTTCTCCACGCTTCCATCTCAATTTCCGCGACATTGATTTATGCATTTGAGCCTCTTATGCATTGAGATCACATTTCACTGATTTGATGAGACCATTAAATGGTATGTGTGGTGATGCCATAAGTGCAATCAATGTGGTGATTAATAGCCATAATAAGAAGTAAGATAATTAGTTTGTTGCATGATCCACGAGTGCAGTCAAAGGGGCATTCAGGTTTCCAGAGCGCAAATAACTCGGAAGTTACTTTTCTCTCAATGTTAACCAATTCTCCCATACATTGTTACAATCACTGATTTTCTGGCCAATTGAGGATGATCGAGAAGAAGAAACGCGATCGCCGAACACGTGTCGCCCGCTCGACAGTTCGCGCCAAAAACTGTGTTCAACCCAGCCGTGATGGAGTAGAACAAGATGCGCAATCCGAGCTCTGCACGAAATCTCAGTGTTGAACATCCAAGAACAATTGGTGCAGTTACTCCCATTGAATTGATTAGCGAAATGAAATGCTGCGCCTCACACACAGACAGCTCTTCTAGCTGCTTCTGCTTTTTTTAGTGGAACAAAAAGCGGTAACCTAGAATTCAATTAACACACAAATTTCCACCCAAGAAAGCACCATCTTCAGTCAGGTGCGCCGCGGCCGCCGTGCGGAGGATGCGCGGAAATGCGAGCGATATTATTCGGAAATGAGCCAAATTACAAAGCGAGGCTCGCGGAGAGACAACACAATGATGATTGTATCTGTGACGGTAATTGAAGTGATTGAGAGAGAAGGAGAAAATGCACTCAACAGAGGCCATCATTAAAAATCGATTTTCCACTTTTGAACTGCCAATTTGCCAACCTGAAAATCACAAACTGCATTTTTCATACTCACGCTGCCAATTGATTTATTGTCTCAAGTCGATAAATGAAATCCCATCTCATGGGGATTAACATGGAATTTTTCCCACCTCTTCAGCTGGTAATCCGCGCAGCACCGCGGGAAAAAATTGCTCCAATAATGCCAGCGAGTTGGGAGAGAATGAATAAATTTTGGAGCGTGTGCGCCGGGCAGAAACACGCGGCCGTATTTTGTAATTGAAAGCTCCGTCTGACCTTCTGGGAAATACAGAGAATAAAAGAAATGGTAGAACTCACAAATGTTAAACATTAGAGATGTAAAAGTTTGGCTGATGTTTGATAAATCTGTCATATTGCTTTTTTAACATATCCATTAGGACAACCTCCGAAGGTCTTATTAAAATAACACATTCAGGTGGTACAAAATGGTTTAACACGTGTAAACCAGAATTACAAATAACACAAGTGGTGAATTTTTAATACACGTGGTGAATTTTGTTTACACAATCGCCTTCTTAAACTTAACATATGTGACTCAGAGTAGCAAAGATTATTTTAAACAATTAACATTCCTCAGTTTTAGTGGGAATTGATCCATTCAACGAGAAATTTTTGCTAATATGATTTATTTAATGTTAGAATATTAATCTCGCGCCGCCGCCAGAAACTGATCGGCCTCCACTTCAAGCTTGCAATAACTGGAGGCACAATTATTGCTTGTTTCAATAAATGCACTTCCCGCCGATGCAGGCGAAAGACAAATATCACGAAATTACTTAAATGAATCTCTTTCACTTCTTTTCTCCTTCACGGTAATTTGGCCACGGCAGCGGCCGAGAAGAGAAAAATACTGAGAAGGATGAACACCTTCTCTCGACGTAGCCTGGAACACACGATTCACCCTGAGGGAAGCACAGGGGAATTTGCCATCGCGCAATTCAATGACTTCAATGGCAATTTGCCCCGATCTCATGAGCAAACACTGCTGGGGAAAAGTGCTGGCAAAGTTGGGGTCTTTCGGTGGACTTTTCGCGCATGCTGAGGAAATAGTTGGCATTTTTTCGTTTTTGCTCTTCACGGAGAAAAAGTGCGCAAAGTGGAGCCAAATTCCGTTAATTTCATAATAACAGTGACTCGCGATGCTGCACAGTATAAAAGTGTTGTGATTGGATCGACAAAAATAGCACAAAATCTTCTGGCATTGTCTAATTGGATGCGCAATTGGTGAATTGTGGAAGTTTCACCTGTTGATCTATGGTCGGCGATTCTGGCCGCCGACTCACCACCCGCGATCGCGATAGTGCCTCACATGCAATTAACCTTCTTCGGTGGTGTTGTGGTGAGAGAGAAAGAAATTGAGCGCCAATTGCGCTCTGTTGATTCATCTGCCAGGAATTTCCACACATGCTCGCGGTGAAATCCTCATCAACACCTCCAAAAGCAAGAATTCTCGCGGCGATGAAAACTAACTGACGAAATACAAATTTATCGGTGAATAGGAAGCAAATTAACCGATAAGTTTGCACTCGAACACGTGCACCTGCTTGATTTTCCTCAATTGAGGTGAACTAATTGACTCATCGAGGCACTTCTGCGCCCCGATCCGCGGAACCGTTTTTAATTACAGCCTCAGAGAGTCATCATATCATGAGAAGTGTACATGGCTTTTCCCAGAAAGAAATTGAGACTGAAGGAGCATCTTCGCCACGCGATCGCCTAATCATCGCGCACAGTAACGGATTCGATTCACGGCCAGTCCAAACATCTCTCTGCCTCATGTCCAGCGATCAAAGATAGTGATCTCTTTCGTCATTCACTCGGGGGCATCGCATGTGAAATTTTGCAAATGGCCCAGTCCAGAATTTGCTGCGAAATGAGGGAAAATGATGAGAGTTGAAAGAACAAGACATGATGATGCCAAATTTCTCATATCTCTTGATGGGGCCTAACAATAAACCGCCAGTCGGGAGATGATATGAGTGTGTGTGAGAGAGAGAGAGAGAGAACGTCCAGAGGAAGGCATTAAAGATTAATAAAATAACACACAGACAGCGGTTTTAGCCAAGGTGCGCTGGGCAATAAACATGAAATTTATTGCATCGCAAGCACCTATAATTCTTGTAAGGTGAAAATTTCGGCGGTGATTTTGCATCTTGCCTTCTCTTGGATGCGGCCATCGATAAGAGCCTCGGCAAGTGTGTTCGGTGCAAGGGGAAGACAAAATGCCTTAAATCTGTACATCATATTCTAACACTTCCTACACGTAAAATTTGTATAGACAGTTAACACAATCGGTTTAATTTGGCAGTAAAAAAAAGCACTCAGAGAAGGAACATTATGTGTTTGTATACTTCTCAAGACTTCCGCTGATTTGTACACCACTTCTGACTGTAATATCTCCCCTTTGATTCGGTGCCACACCATAATGGTCATTGGCAGGATGATTTTGGGGCTAAAATGACCAGGTGAGACGTGCAAAAGTGGCGGATGAGATTAATCTCTGGCTGTATTCGTGGTAATTTCATTAAATTTAATTATGGTTACTTAATTGAAAAAATTGTTTTTGAAAATGAGATAAAACACTCCACCTCTCGACACGCTGCGGCTCGCATTTCCCAGCATCCCAGCGAGATGTGAATCTGATTAAGCACAAAACATGGCGAGAAGAGAGGCTTATCACACAGTGTTTTCTCACGAGAATCAGGAATATTACACAAGTCGCCTAATTAATTAACCTCTTCACTCTTCCCTTTTTCATTCTCGCGCTTCCACTTCTCATCGATGGCCATCAGATAAGACTAGTGTTAGCCGGAAATGAAATATGGCCCCTGGAGCGACCGGACGGGATGCCCAACATTGTGTCGCTGGAGGTGATGTGCGGCAAGGATCACATGGATGTCCACCTGTCCTTCTCGCAGCCCTTCGAGGGCATCGTGAGCTCCAAAGGGCAGCACAGCGACCCGCGATGCGTCTACGTTCCTCCTTCCACCGGCAAGACATTCTTCTCCTTCCGGATAGCCTACGCTCGGTGTGGCACGAAGCCTGATCTCAATGGGCAGTTCTACGAGAACACAGTGAGTCTCACGTGCGAATCCGGCGGATAAATATATTCCCTCACGCAATGTATCTTCCACAGGTTGTGGTCCAGTACGACAAGGACCTCTTGGAGGTGTGGGACGAGGCGAAGAGGCTCCGGTGCGAGTGGTTCAACGACTACGAGAAGACCGCCTCGAAGCCGCCAATGGTGATCGCGGACCTGGACGTGATCCAGCTGGACTTCCGCGGTGACAACGTGGACTGCTGGATGGAGATTCAGCAGGGCAAAGGACCCTGGGCGTCGCCCGTGAGCGGAATCGTCCCGCTCGGCTCCACCCTGACACTCGTCGTGGCTATCAATGACTACCGAGGTAATAACTCGCCCGGGCGAATGTCTTCTTCAGCGACTTGTCGCGTGTGGGACAAGTTATTGCCCATCGTGCAGTACTTGAACGCGAACACGATAATTTGTGAATGTAATTCCCTCATTGTGCTGTCTCATCCGCCATGGAGCGCGGACAGTAAATTCTCATCCACTTGAGATTGTCATCTGCATGAGAAGAGGGCCCACGAAGGTGTGCCACGGCATGGAGAGTGATACTGAAAATAAGTGAAGCCCCACTGCAGAAATGACTAATCCTCATTTGTCACACACACCAGAACAGGGGTTCCACATTAGAAGGCACGACTTTCCATTCATGCGGACTTCGCCTAATATATGGCACAATTGATTCTCGTGTGTACCACAGGGAGTTTATCGAAGCGAAACATGCAGAAAGCCATTACTGGCCTTCCGACAGCCTCGCCGCGGAAAGCATTGCGCGACAGAGATAAGGGAAACCTTATTTACACGACGTACAATGTATACAAGTAGATCCTACCCAGATTTCAATGCGGTCCCACATCGTGAACAGCCACTTGGGTTGCCTCTTGCGAATCACAAGTAGTGTAATTGATTAAGAAGAATTAACTTAAAGCAAAGTCCAAAGACTGAAGAGAGATTTATGAAGAATTGAGGTAAATTTCAATCACTGAGAAGAATACCAGATAGTAAATTCTGCATGGTTTCAACTCAGCGAACCCAAAAGAAAAGCAGGTATTTTCGCTAAAAAGTGCTAAGAAACGATCACGCGAGACGATGGAGGAACTAAAACATGCTCATATTTGACCACAATATTGAGCAGATTTATCGCTTCCTCAGAGCACAATTTTGATCATTTTTTCCATTTCTTCCGGCGAATTACTGCTCAGATATGAGCAGATAAAAGCGCTTTTCTCAACACATTTAGTGAGCATTCTCTTAAACTTTATTTTATAGTTCTTTGGGTGGCACAAAAGCAAAAGAATCCAAGTACTCATGTACTTCAGAGGTTTATTCTTCTCTTCTTGCGTTGACGGTGTTTCGTCGCTTGCGAGGAATTTATCTCAAAGAGCAAATCGAGCAATGCACACACTTGTAATTTGCCACTTACCAGCAATTCATTCATTCTGTCTGATTAGCATAACAATGTGCCACAAACATTGCATACAAATTCCCTCTAGAAGCTTGTTGTGAAGCCCACAGAATTTCGACAATATTTCACCCACAACAAATTGCATCCATTCAGAAAATTCGGGGGCCTCACGCGGCGCCTCGTCATACTCGAGGTGGCTCGTGCCCAATTCATGCTTCACGTAACTTGTCTCATTGTATCTGACTGAATGGGGAGCGCGTAAACATGCTCCCACTGTTCCGGGTGTCTGGCATTGACGTGATTTGTCATCTCTTTCGCAGGTGAATTCGATATGCGAGTCAAATCTTGCCTGGCGTCCGACGGAGCGGGTCACATTATCAAGCTATCGGATGAGTACGGATGCGTTCTCAGGCCCAAGATGATTTCGCGGTTCCTCAAAGCCAGGGCGCCGGACGAGAGAGCCACGGTCATCACGTACGCCTTCTTCCACGCCTTCAAGTTCCCCGACGCTCTCAGTGTTCACATCAAGTGCAAGGTGGAGATCTGCCGACACGGATGTCTGGACCATTGCCAGGTAAATTGACGTTGTGAAGACGTTCCACAGATGGATAATGAGTGGTTCTGTTCAGGTGACTGGCAATATTCACGAGAGAAAAGACGTGATCGCCGAGGATGGACACAGCGCGGCCAACACGAATGAGATCAACATGATGCACGAGATGCCAGACGACGAGGACTCTGGCGGAGACAATGACGTTTACTACGACGACATCATTCACCACGGAAGCGATGCCCAGCACGCGGCACACCTGAAGCAGCATCCGCCGCGGGAGAAGGCGCCGCCGCTGCACCACCAACACAGCGGAGAGCTGGAGGAGCTGAACAAGCTCTTCCGCGATCACAAGGCAGACATGAAGAAGCGCGGGCCCAACGTGAGCGGCGTGAAGGAGGGCGACGACAAGTTCCCGCACGGCCCGCGGTATTTCGAAGCCACAGTGGCGCAGAATCGCATGGGCAAGCCCGCCGTGGCGGGCCCGAGATCCCTCGAGGGCAGCCAGGAGCGGCCGGTGAGGCATCCCGGCGAGTCGGGCAGCTATCGGACGCCCAGGCGGAAGCGCTCCGTGGTGGTGTCGGACCGCAAGGCGAGGAGCGCCGATGTGGGCGTGAGCGGGATCTACGATGTGATCTCGGAGGCGGATCTGGCCTTCAGTCCGGACGCCAGGCAAGAGGCCGTTACCGTGTTCCAGGGGAAGATCACCGAGGAGGTGGTGTATGGCATCTGCATGCCCGTGCCGGGCTTCAGTGTCCTCTTCATCCTCGTCACGTCCGCGGCGATAGTGTCCGCCCTGGTGGCGGGCTCCCTGCTCTACCGATATCAACTGCAGCGTGAGGCCCTGGCGCAGCAAAAGCAGAACGGCGCGAGCATCCCTCTGGCCACCAACACCTTCGCCTCCTGGATGACGCTGCGACTGGCCCGAATGCGACAACATCACACGAGGCAATCCGTGGCGCAGTGAATTTCCGCCTCCAGCACACGTTCTCTCTTTCGCCGACCAGCACAATCCTCAGCAACCTGTCGCCACTTCGCCTCACCTTCACTCCTTCTCTTCCTTGTATAGAAGTGAAAGAATTTTCGGGCATATTTGCAATAATTTTATGTACGTTTTTAGAAATTCTTATTTAATTTTTTTTTGTAATCATCAGAGACTTGGTGCTATTCACTGGGAGGGTTTTTTTTGTGCGACTAAAACGAATATATATGCAGTGACTTGACAATGGAGGTGAAATTCGACGAAGCGATGTGGTTCAACGCAAAATCTTACCAATCACCCGAGATTTTATGTGCAAAACATTCAATAGTTACAGCGAATCAATGTCAATTTCCCTGGGGGGTGAAAATTTAAGGATGCGCGGCATTTCCAGAATCATACAGAATGATTTTTGGCGGCAAATTGGGCAGCAGACGTGATACTTCCAGTACTTGCTGCTTCCCGTTCCCAAATACCTCTCGAACTGAAGATGTTTGACGTACATTCTGAGGCAATCTCTGCAGTATTCATGTTTACAGAGTAGTCTTATCGTATCATATATGGGTTCCAGACAAATGGGACACGACGCTTTCCGAGCAGCTACAAAAGAAAACAAATCAGGAATCAACATTAAGGAAAAGCCAGGCTAGAATTTAGTCAATTTCGGAATTTATCCAAGAACAATCATATTTAAAACCAATTAACGAAGATCTTCGTCTTGATTTTAAATGGAGAACATTTTTTGCATGATTTCAAGTCTTCCCAGATTTGGAAAAATATACATAAACCTAAATTTTTAGAAAGATTTTAATGTTGTGAGAAAAAAGGTTTGGTTTAAGAAAAGCTTGAAATTATATCACGAAATAGGGAAAAGGACTTGAAATTAGATAGATTCTGGCTAATTTTGCAACTTACCGAGGCGAGCAGACCTCCTAATTTGAGGAAGAAGTCCGTTTTTAGCGTTCATTGAGCAAATTTTCTACCCTCAAAAAATAAAATCTGTAGAAACATTCTCGATTCCCTTGATTTTTCCAGTAAATGTTTTGCCATGTCGCTTCGTTTTGTTCCACTTTTCATATGAATAATTCTCTATTTTGAGTCTTAAGAAGCCAAACAAATCAGAGGGAGTTCTTCGAGGAATTCTGTATGAATGACAGCTCGAAGGAGCTGAATTGTCGAAACTCTAATTTATTACTCACTAAGTTAATTTGTCCTTTAAGGATTTTTTGTGCTCTATATTTAATTTATTTTGTTCTTGACTTATGCAAAAAACACTCTTATTTATGCTGTATTTGTTCGAGTAATCGATACGTTGAGCCAATATTTGCCACAGCTTGTTTGCACTGCGGCAAATATTTGGCAAACAATTGTATCAATTGCTTGAACAAATAGTGACATCTTGTCTTTCAGTTGACTCTCTTCTCTGCCACTTCCTTCACAAGCGCATTCACACACGCCACACACACACACACACACTGACACACCCATACACATAAGATATTCATTAATGATGTAATTTTTATGTAAAATCATTGTGTAGAATAATATTGAAGAGATGAAATGAGAGAGATTGAGAAAAAAACGTAGGAATTGTAAGAAGGAAATCCATTTGTGTTTCACTCGTGTTTCACTCGGCGCCTCCACTGCCAGCGTTGTCCACGAAGATTTCGGAGAGCGAGATTAAATTGGCCTTCCAGGACTATTAATTTACTCTATTTATTCACTTCATTCATCATTTGACAGACAATTCATCATACAATATAAATATTCTTATGCTCTATCATACATTCCTTACTTTTGCCATTGGCGTGATTTTTCAACCACTAATTTTGACCCGAAAACATCCCAATGGAGGCAATTTTGACTGATTCATGTGCCTTTTGGACCTTTTTGCTCCTTCCAAACTCTTAGGATTAATCTTTCACTGTATTGACTACGAAGCTACAAGTAAGATATATAATTATATGGCGACCCAAACCATTACCATCATGTTCTCGTGAGAAATGATATTATTTGTCTTATTTCCGATAAATTAGAAGATACTCATCTAACAATAATATGCAGTGTCTCCAAGTGGACACTGTCGGCGGACTTTTGCCACTCTCAACACCTCTATTTGGCCACTCTGAGACACTTCTAAATGCTACAGGTACAATTAATAGCTACGCTGCGTGATTTTCCATAGCCTAATAAATTACATTTCCAAAGATCGAGGAATTTATTCCAACCTGGAAAATCATGCTTAATGATTAATCTCTACCTTGCTGTTAACGTGTATATAAATATAATAATAAATTAAGATGAACAACTTGGCGTTTTCTACCCGGTAATTTTTCTCTTTTGTTATTTTAATACATTAATTACAATTAAATAAATATTCCTCCTCTTCTTTTTTTTCGCAATAAATAACATAACATAATATTCTTCCTAATAAATTTTTAATTTCTAGGTACTTTTTAGATATTTCTCTCTATATTTTTCAATTGAAAATACACTAGATAAATTTGCTCAAAATTATACAAAAAAATTAGAGAATAACAAAAACAAATAAAACAAGTACAGCGGGCTTTACCCAACTGTAATTGCTGATAGACGATAAGAATGGAAGCTGATCTATCCAATCTAATTACAATAATAAATAAATAAATAATAGACAAATATAAGCGACAAATAGTGGAGCCAGTCTCATACTTTGATGGAAGTTCTGAAGAAGAATCCAGTGAGTGTAGTTGATTGTTTTGGGAAGAGACGAAGATTAGAGGTGCTGCATTTCTTCTTATACGCTATGGAGGCATTGATCCATATTTTAGCGCCTCATCCCATTTGCTTCTTTTTGCTCTTGAACCTATCGACACTTATCGACATGAAATACTTGAAATTTTCTTTTATACACAATTTTACAGGAAAAATAATTAAAATTGACAGTTCAAGAACTAATTTGTCCATATCAGTACTATTTTACCTTTAAAATTGTGTTGAAAAGGAAATTGCCGGTAATTCGTATCGATGAGTGTCGATAACTTCAATAAGTTCAACGTGAAAGAAAGCAAGTGAGAAAGAAATTTAAGCGGAATGTTTTCGTCAATACTGTCCAAAAGATTGTCTCGATATTTTACTGGCTTTGACTGATATTGTGGATGAGTTGGCATTCTAAAATATGGACCCTTGTTAGTGTCATGGGAGATTACAACAAAATATGCTCTTAAACATAAGACATAGTAAAGTCCGCTCTATGATCTGTGGCGTATGAGGTACAAAATATTAACATGATGCAATTTCTCCTTCATCTGCATGCGCGGGACAGTCGTGGGTGAGGAGTGGAGCAGGCTTGGGCTCACGAGGATGAGGAGGTGTAAAAGCAGTAGCGCTTCTTCGTCGTGGACGGAGCAGGTACTCGCTGGATGGTGCCCACGACGGTCATGTTGGGATTGGTAAAGGCCACCGTGCGCGCCTTCTCGGCCGCCAGGGAGAAAGGCCTGAGGCGGACGCACAGGAAGGCGGACATGAGGCAGGAGACAATGAGGATGCCCAGCAGCACCACGAGCGTGGCGGCGAAGCCGGGTGTCGTCATGCAAATCAGGCCGTCGTCGCGGGCGGGGAACACCATGGTCTCTTGCTGCGTGGCATTGGCCTGACTGTCGATCGGGAAGGTGAGGTCGCCGGAGGACACCACTCTGATGATGCGATTGAGGCCCACCTCCTTCTCCGGGTCTGTGGAACGCGTGATTCTGCCCACGCGACGGTCATCGCGCTTCCGGGCGGCGTGGAGGAAGGCGTCGAGTGGCAGCGGTGGCGGAGGACCGTACTGATGTTCAGGCCCAGCGGACAGGTGGTGGACATCGAGGAGAGGATCTGAGCACTGTTCGGGGCACTGGTAGCGACAAATCTGAATGGTGCACTGGAAGTGAACCTCCATCGAGTCGGGGAACTTGAAGGCTTGGAAGTGAGCATAAGAGAGAACGGAAGCGGACGCTCCGAAGTTCTTGATCTTCGTGAATCTGGACATCAATTTAGGCCTCGTGACGCATCCGCGCTGATCCACCAGCTGAATGGGCGCTCTCTTGCCATCGTGAGCCATGCAATTTCTTACCAACATGTCGAATTTGCTGTCATCATCCTTAATCGCCAGCACCATCGTCATTGTCTGTCCGATCTTCACCAGACCCGAGACCTCTGAGGCCCACGGACCCTTGCCGACCTGAATCTGCATCCAGCACCCAACATTGTCCCCGGCAAAGTCCGCCCTTACCACGTCCAGCATATCCACGGGGAAAGGCCTGAAGGTCACGCTCTTCTCGTACTGATCATGCCACGTGCACCGCAGCTTTCTGGCCTGATCCCACACCTCCTGCACCTGAGGATCGTACTGAATCACGATTATGTTCTCAAAATACGTGCCCGACCCCGATTCCGTGCCGTAGCCGTACAATCCATTCTCGGTGTTTCCCGACGTTCCACACGCGTGGATGCCAATGTCGAAGGTGGCCGAACTCCTGCCCAGGCCCGCCGGTAAGTGGACGCAGTTGATGTTGCTGTAGTGTCCCTTGGAGAAGACGATGCCGAAGAAGGGTTTGTCGAACTGCAGGAACACTTTCATGCCGCCCTTCTCGCACTTCACATCCAACGAGACGATCTTCGGCATGTCCGGCACTGGCGCAGACCAGAGATCATTGCTGACTGGCGGCAGGGCAAACAGCTTGTCCTGCCCCAGATCGTGGGCGTGATTCGGCAATGGTGGCGGCGGTCCGTGGTAGGCCAATTGCGGTGGCGGCGGCGGTCCGAAGGGCTGTCCGAGTCCTAGAGACGCCAGTTTGGGCACACCTGGAAAGGATTTGAGTGGTGAAAAGGAGCCTTATTGCCTACTGAGCGTCTTACTTGGTCCGGGCGGCGGCGGTCCGTGCGAGAAGTGAAGTGTGGGTGCTCCCTCCTGGTCCACCGTCTCCAGAGCCACCTGATCTGGGTCATCTGATCGTTCTGGTGCTTCATCTGGCGAAACCGCCTTCACCACTTCGACATCATCGCCGGCCAAAATCTGTGCAGTGAGCGAAAAACAAGAAGAAAAAAAACAACCGTCAGCGAAAGAAGTTGAGGAGAGTAAAAAAAAGGTGCTGGGCGATGAGAAAGAAGCGAAAAAGAAAATATTTAGCACTTATTTGTAACAGAGTCAACTCAATTTCCGGATCCTTCTGACCAAATTCTCTCATTTCTTCGCGCTCTTCTTTCTCCTTCACCTATGCTGGCCATTTGATGCTGTGTGCGGCGCATAGATTTTTACATATACAGCATTGGCAGAGCCGCGCTTGTATAAAATATACTGTTAATTCCGCGGAGTGAGAGAGAGATGATCGACAGACGGACAAAACAGAGCCGCGAATTGATGATGATGATGATCATGGCTAAGGAGGAAAAAAACTGACCCAAATATCGTTTCAGTGCCACACACATATTCTCATGTGGAGATGTTATAAAACAGCATAATGCGTAAGTTCCACATGCCATCGAGCTGTCTTCTCAGGTGCTTCTCTTCCAAAACACACACACAGATCTGCGCGCGTGTGCGCAAGAGTGAAAGAGATTAAAAGAATCGAAGATCAATTGATTATTAACAATATGTATATTTTCATCTATATAGTCCGCCACAGAGATTTCTTTCGCTGCCTCATTATGAATCCTCATTTGCGAGCCGAAGAGAAAGAGTCTTTTGTTCCAATTTCGTTGTGCAAGAAGTCGTGTGAAAGATCATCGAGTCGATCTCCATTTGATGTTGATAAGAATTTCCAACATTTGTGCGATTGCATCGCGCGATCAATGGAAATTCTTGGCGCAGTGACACGATGGAGAAGTTCTGCGGATGGCACTCCATATCCATTTACGTGATTGACGCATTATGCCATTTTGAGCAGTATTTAAACATGTCCCGGAGCCCTAATTTGCCCGTAAATGGCCAATTCATCTTGGCCTCTGGAACGCGGATTTATTTGCAATGCTGACTGACCACAATTCTGCCCTCCCATTCATCCGCCTCAGCCACAATATTTAGGCGCACCAGAGCGGCATTGATTCCTGGGACGACTTCGCATTATTTTGCTACATGCCATCAACTCATTGCAAGTCATTTTGTGGCAATTTTGGATCCGCCAAAGTGGCTCGCGATTCGTTCAGTGAAATTTTTCAACACTGGGAGAAAGAACAATAATTCTTTTGCCTCTTCTCCCTCTCCAGCCATTCAAGCCAAAATCGCACGAGAGTGCGCCTAAGAAAGTACCAAAACGATCACACACGTCGTCGATGCGAACGATGTGGCCAGGCTGTGATGCTGCGAAGTTTTTGCGCCACACACAGAAATCGCGCAACTTTTCCACCAAAATTTTCACGCCGAAGCGAAGTCTAAATATGTGGTAATTGATTGGAATAGTCAAATTGACTTTGTGGACAATGAATTGAGCATCAGAACCTTGACACATCGTGTGCATTGGTCTGCGTGGTAAATTGTCTTTCATATATCTTCATCGGCAGCTCTTTTTGGCGAATGTAAACACACATACGCGAGCGGTGAAAACGTCGAAGGCGAAAAGGAAGAGCAAGAGAGCCACAAGAACTCTTCACACAGGCATCTTGCAGGCCATCCAGTGGCTACAGGTTAATTCTAAAGAGCAATTTCGTGCGTGCAAGAGTGAGATGAGGCACCAAATCGGCGAGATATGGCACCAATCGCGGAAAGAAGTGTACATGGGCTCATGATGGCGGGAAAAAATGCAAGTTAAAGAGCTGAGCCGCTGAGGTGGAAAAAAATTGGCACATTTTTTCAACCACAGCGAAGAGCCAATGGTGTTCCTCTTTTTATCATTTTACGCCAAATACCGCGATATTGATGCTTGGCTTGGGAATAATTTAATGCCATTTTCGTCTTGCGTCAAAGTGTTATGAGGCGATAAAGAGTGATGGAAGGTTGACAGAGAATTTGCGAATGCGCCCATTGAGCAAGAGATCATCTTTCACTGCACTCTCGATGTGTTTCTGGTCACTCGCGTGATCGTGGCGGCAGATCGTGTCAAAGGAAGTATCAGGAGAATGTGGAATAATAAAATACTCGAATTTCAGAAAGGCGCGCAGAAAGATACGAAAAAACAGTCAATCGGAAATCAATAATGATGTCAATGATATTCTCAAGACATAATTTGGGTGTTTTTACTCTTACTTTCGAGAGAATCGACGAGGAAGTATTTTGTGGAAAAGATCCTGGAAAGAGTCTTCATTCGGTGTGAATTAAGTAACACTGTCGCAATAAATATTGTTACAACGAAGAAGAGAAATGATGGAATTCTCTCACTCATCTTCCTCACCTGCTTCTCATCATGAGACCACAGAAGAAGTACTCAATATAATCAGATTAAGACCACTAAATTGTGCATTATGGCTGCAATTGAGCGGATTAGGCGGAAAATAGGCGCATCGCGCATTAAAGAGGTTCAGTGGGAAAACCTGAATGGCTTCTTCAGCCTCGCTGCTCATCATTATATCATCACGACGGCGAGTGGTAGAGATGGAATGTGATGTGAAATTTTAACCAACTTTTCTGCTGCGCAGCACACCTTGACACTGGAATGTATTTCCGGAGCGTCCGAAATAATTTGGCGGTAAATCATGCAATTTGATGACCATGGAAGAGTCGGATGGAATTCCTCTCTATATCAATGTGAGAAAAGGGAAAGGCTCGCAGGGAAATTCGATTGACTCGCATGAATTTTTCATGCGGCCGCAGAGTGAATTTCCATGAGTAGACGAGGCGAGAGAGAGAACCATTAACTTCTCTTCTGCTCCGTATCGACTGTCAATGTAATTTATTCATTAGGAATTGGAATGCGTGGCTGAGTTGTTTTTCTTTTGCACCAAAACGCATCTATCTAATCCACATTTTACCATGTTATGGAATATTGAAGTGGAAGATGATGAAGAAGAAATGATTATTTTTGTGGCCTCTTACACTTGTTAAATAATGTTGCAAGACCAGTTAGTAGTGTACCAAGTTGGTAATATAAATTCTGCCCCTTTCCCTCTCCGCCGCCGCCTTCCAACACTTCCAGTGCCGCTCTTTCTCTCACCTTCGTATTTATTCAGAATTGGACACTCCGCGAGATGCTTTCGGTGCCAGAAGCACCAGCAACAAGTCATCATTATCGACAGTCGCCTCTTAGCAGTCGCCTTTCAGTGTCGGTGCGATTTGTATTGGAATTTTGGATAAATGATTTAAATTGACCGCTTCCTCCAATCACTCCCGACTTCTTTTTTTTATCTGCGACTTTCATTCCTCGGCGTCTCTCATAATGGCTTGATTTGAGTCTCGCGATCTCCTCTTACTCGGCATTTCATATCAATCCAGCACTGCTCAATGAAATCTCTGTGGCAATTTCAACAATTGGAAGCGATCTCACCCCTCGCTTTTCAATAAAATGTCTGAGAACATGGCGCGAGACAGAGTGGGAGAATGGAAATTGTAGCAAACAATCTCGCAGAGAAGCGTATGCAAAATCAAGGAGCAGATATTGTGACCAAAAGTGGTGTACAGCTTTAATGAAGTGTTAAAATTTTTCTAATTTCATTTAAAAAGCTTCTGTTGCAATAAAACGAGACATTTTCTAAACTATTTTGCTTAGAAAAATCAATTTTATTACTTTTCTAGGTTATGTCACAATTAGGCGAAAATTGTTCTAAGCATTTTTCAAAGGCGAAACTAGAAAATGAAGTCAGAAATCAGGTCTTACAATTTGAAATCTAAGCATTTGATGGAAACTCTTAAAAGCGTCTAAAAAGCGATTGAAAATGCCTTTAAAGGCGCCCAAAAGTATCTGAAATGTTACAGAATCTGCACAGAAACTGCGGAAGTGTCACAAAGTGGTGTACAGATTTAAGCCATATTATCTCTCCCTTGCGCAAAATTAGATTCGCTCCAAAACCGAAAGACTCCAGCAGTCGCGTAGGCGATGAACCCGATTCCAACAGCCCGGAGGGTATGAGTTTTTTCCACCTCCGTCGCCACGCCGCAGAACCCAATTTGCGACTGCGATTTTGATATATAGCGCGACGCAGAGGTTGCGATGTAAGCACCAGGCGCCTCCATGTCTCAGGCAATCCATTAAAAATTTATTTGTTAACACATTCCACCGCCAATTACCACGATGATGGATCACTCATCGAGGCAATAATTGCTCCAGTACTCCGCCTTCGGATCCACGATCAATGCACACGATACCAGAGTGTGGATCTCTTTCTACAAATCCAATCCACTGCGCGCACATCCCAGAATCTCAGCGCGCCAGTTTCTTCGCATGCGAAGCTGGTGCTGTCTCGGGCATTAGTGACCCACATTGTATTCGAATGTTCACATGCCTCTCTTTAATTCCATCTTCCTCATGCATTCCTGCACTGCGGCCGCGGCTTCACTCTCCATCCGGAGTGTGCTTAGGAAGGCATTCTCCGCGCGAGAAGCCAGCATTCAAGTCAATCATGACCCTATTGCATGTGTGTAAGTTGCCAAGCTGTGTTTTGTCGTGGACTCACGCGTGTGTCAAGGCAAAACAAACTCAAGTGACTGAAACTGAGTCAACAACGTCTTCTCTGCTGCTCCTCACCATCAGCAGAAAGCTTGAGACAATTCAGCGGAAATCACCATTTAATTTCAATAAACTCTCTTCACTCGCTAGTGTGAAAAAAGCAAAGCAGGAACTTTTTGCCACTGATTCTGCGTCCAAGGAAATGATTTACATCCAGATAAGACGTTTCTCTCTGGTCGTGCACGAACAATGTAAGCTTTTTTCCACCGCCGCCACTATTGTTGTTTAGAAGCGTGTGCGATAAGTGTGCACCAGAGAAGACTGTTCTGCAAACCGCATATTTGTCACTGAAGAAGAGGCTTTTTGTATGTCGGCATTCTGCATTTACTCAAGTAGGAAAATTCACTCCAAAAGAGGTGGATAAATTCAAAAATCCACGGTCTCAGATCTACAATTTTCGGCGCTCTGTGAAATTATGAAAAATTTAAGTAGGTGAATTTGACACCTTCTGAACTGGCCAAGGGGAAGATAATACAGTCAGAAGTGGTGTACACCTCAGCAGTTTTCTTGGGAAGTATTCAAACTTACAATATTCCTTCCCTGAGTGCTTCTTTTGCTGCTAAATTATCCAGATTCTTTGGATATCTCTCAATTTTTTACGTAAAAGCAACTATAATAATTCTTTTCTGCGCATTGAGCTAAGATCAAACAGAACCTCAAAAATAGTAATTAAACTTGGAAAATATTAACTTTAAACAATTTTCGTACGATTTTCACTCTGAGTCTTTAAAGGCCTCTTCGTGATATTTTAAGGTTATGATCGGAAAAATACCCAAAAAAAAAGACATTTTGGATTTAGGAATTGCCTTCAATTCCACTGGAAGCAAAAAAATGTTCCTAACCAAATAAGCGCCCAAAGTCTGTCACTTATCATCCCCTGATGGAAACTTCGACAGCGCTTCCCGCGTTGGCGTCACGGAAGGCGTGCAATGCATTCAATTGACTCCGACATCAGCAGAAGTCCAACAATGGGAAATTGTAGCACACAAAAGGCGCGTACATGTTAATGGGCGAGAGTGCGATGGAGATGACGGTGCAGCAGACGTCTCTTGAGATGATCATAGACATCTTCGCGTCATAAGACATTGTTCCGCATTGGGCGCACTCACACACGCTCGCGATGCATTTGGAGTGGTATTTAAAATTCTTTACCTACTAACTTACTCTCCGGCACTCTTGGACGTTTTTCACTGCGCGCAGCTGAAGAATTTTCTTCACTCTGCTCCTCAGCATCTTTTTCATTTCTCTTTTGATCTGGGCTTTTTTTCTCCCGTGCGTTTCTTGACTCCACAACTCATTAGCTCTGCCCCCACCCGTTTTCACTCCCATTGGACTTTTGTTACCATCGCGAGCTCCAATTTCTCACACGTTTATTTCTCTTTCTATATACGTCAGATGTAGATTATTGAACTTGCACGATCTTCGAGGTCTGCGCCTTAGATACACTTTGAGGCATTGTGGCCTCTCTCAATGAACTGAGAATTGGGTGAGTGCGCGGCTCTTTAATTCACACAAGCCACGCTACAGGGTGTTGACGTGATCCATTGAAGAGACTTTCATTGATCGCGAGCCGAGCTGTGGGCGATGCGATCCCCGGAGGATCGACAGAGAGGTTAAGGGTGAGCTTTCGCCGGAGCTTTCGACACCCTGTGGCAGGGCTTGGTCAGCGGTCAAGTTTCCGTTACTCGCCGCACTCACACACGCCCGTCGGGAGCGATCGCGAGTGTGCGTGGAATCATGAGAATTGGATGATTAATTTTCACTTCCTTGGAATTTCACTTGATCGCCACCCATCTCACCTCTGTTTTCTCTCCCACGGCGATCATGTGGCATTCCTGCACCCACACCAGCGCACTCTCCTCGCCCGGGCAACGCGCCCGAAAAGCCCGCCCGGGCGCCCAGATCATCGCGAGGTGATCAAGTGCATCGATCATGGGCGAAATAGTGTGAGAAGAGGCGGAAAATTGTCTTTCTGTACCAACCGGATGTTTTGTCTCGGGCACAGATGGTCTCTGTTGGCCAATAGGCCGTGCAAGACAAGATTCTGTGCATCACATGTGAGAGGAGAATCTCGTGTTCGACAATCATGCGGTGCACACACACCGACGAGGCGGCCGAAGTGAGTTTGGTGCGCGCGCTCATGTGGTTTGACGCGATTCACGCTTGACCCATTTACCTAGAGGCAGGTTGAAGTGACCCAATTGCGCCTGACGACGGAATTTCAATCACTCGCGGCCGTTCAGCGTCTCTTGCGCAACAGAGACATAATCCCAAAATGAAGAGAGACACTTGCAATCAATTTAAATGACTCCTCCGTGTGTGATTCCGCCGACGACGGAAGAGTGAAACAGACACCGAAAAGAATTGACTTTCCAGTCGCCGAGAACAAGGTGCAAATGCGATGCGGAGCTACACCCATTCCCGCAAGACATGTGCAATTATTTATGATTACTCACCTGTGATATTCTAATTAGGATAACTGTCCAAAACGCTAAGGGAAGCCGCATCTTTTTCCGCGCGCAATTGTGACTCTCTGGAAGAAAGTAAGCAGAAATGTTATCCGGAGGTGAAATAGAAAGCAAAATGGGGACTAAAGAGGGCGGAAAGAGCGCGAGATTGAAAGCGCCTGGGGAGGAAAAATACTCATTTTAATGCTAATGAATCGCGGAACCGACGAAGAGATGTGACACACAGCCAGAATTAGGTCATAAGATCTCCACTGAGAATATTCTGGCGAAAGTGAAAATGCCATCATCTAAAATTCCACATGAGATCTAAAAGTTCCTGCTCGAAATCAAGGGGGAGAAAATATGGTCAGAAGTGGTTTATAGATATGAGTTTTAGGAAGTGGGAGTGTTTAAATTTTTGTAATATTTAAACTCTGATTTTCTGTAAAAATTAATTTTTACTCAAGTCCTAATTTTGACATATTTTTCTAGGTTATTGCAGTTAGTTTTTAGTAGATTTTCAGGGTAATAAAATTAAAATTTTATTTTCCATCTTCTTTTTGATATTATTATCTAAATATTCATATCAAAAAGTGTAATTTAATGCAGAAAGTTTGAAAATCAGAGTTACAAAACTGTTAGTTTTATTTTTGTTTTGTTACAAACAATACATGAAGTCTGAACTCGTGGGAAGTGTAAGGATATTTCCCCCTTGCTCGAGACTTCACTTGCCGGATTCGCGTGTTCTTTTTACAAAGGTAAATCGTTTTTATCACAGCTCGTCAAGTTGTCTAAACCGTGTGAAACATGGCCCAGCCATAAAGTTAAAAGCAGCACATAAAGCACCGAAATTATGACGGATAAGAGATCATAAAAGGCCAATCTCTTATCCGGAATGGCACCCATAATTGAAGCAATGTAACGCGATGGTCACATATCATCCTCACCATTTCGACTCAATCACAAATTGGCTGTGAATATAGAATTTTGGGGTCAGAGATTTAACGTTCGAAGGTGCCCCAGTGCTCGGCAAATCGCACATGCGAGATGTAAGAGGGAGAGGGAGAGAGAGAGCGAGAGAAAGAGAGGAAGAGACGCGGCCAGAAAGTGGATTGGAAATTTCGATAAGAATTTAATATTATACCAAAAACACGCCGCTCTCTGATCAATCAATGTATCTGCAGAATGTTTAACAACTTCAATGTTTCAAATTACAAACATTGGCAGATGAATCAACTCCACCCAGTTCCAGCCGCGGCTCAGGCGCTGCCCAGAGCGCGCCGTGTTGAAGTAATTCACAAAATGTAAATAGACAAATCGCTAAATTGCTCAACCAAATGAAAATTACTCTCCGATGGGATTTCTTTTTGGTTTTCTCGCGCGGTGCAGAAGTTGCGCTTCCTTCTGTGCCTGTCGCTGACCTGGGTGGAAAAATTCAAATTGATTTCTCAGTGTTTCTGCCAACACTCTCTCATTGGCAGTGTTACATATAAAAATAGATAGAATAAATGTTTCATTAATTCCCAATTGCGGTCACGGTATTATTCCAAGAACCGCAAAGTGTGCTAACTACCAACTGTGTCATCGTCATCTCTCTTGCGCCTGAGACACTCGCGCGTCAAGGTGGCTCTCTGGCCAGAGACACTGTTCAACATTGGATTAAAGGTAATGTGTGACTTTGTCGGAGACAAACACGCAGATGCACAAGCGACTCGCGATTATGAGTCGCGATGGACAAGAGCGGCGCACTTGTCGAGTTTTCTTGGCTTTATCGCAATTTTAGGTAGCAATGCTTAATGGTTAATTAACGATTTCCTCACTACTTAACTGTGTTTACTATCGGCAAAAAATATTTGGCCAATAACTAATCTTTTTGGTCAGTTAAATATTTAAAATTCAGTAAAAATTTCAATACTGTTTGGTCAGTTAAATGTAGACTTCAAACTGAATTTTAACAGATCGATTTTCTGGAGCTTTTACTATCAAACTGTTACTTTTTGGGTACAAAACTATTTATAAAAAACTAACAATTTCTTTACTAAAATCAGTAAAAATCTATCTATTCTATTTGTAAAGTGATTCGACTCACACCTCAACATCTGCACGGCATTTGATATAAAAGCGTGGCGGGCGAATGCTGCGAAGGCCGCGGCGGCTCCCAAAGAGCGAACCTAATCATGCAATTGTGCAAGTAAAAGTAAAATATTGTCAATTGGCACGCAGAGGCTCGCCAATTGCGCTTCCTCGGAGACACTGCGACTAGTGTTATTGGGTCACAAGTGCACGAGATGCGCCCTTTGGAAGGTCGCCGCCATTGTCACATCACCTGCGTGTGCAACTGAGGCGCGCAGAGTCCGGCGATGAGACACTTTGGCGGGAAAATTGCCGGAAATTGTAAATTCAATTGCTCATTCAGCATCGCGAAGCGTGCAATAGTGGGTAACCTAATTGAATTAAAATGCAAATCACTCGCGATAGAGAGATTTTAGTGGCAGATGTCGCCGCAGTGAAGAGACGCTCTTCCGCCGTCAATGGCAGCGAGTCCACTCTTGCGATGAGGCGAATGGCGAGCTCATCGATTATCTGATGATTAATTAGTGCCATTTAATGTGAACATTTTGGCACGCAAAATCACGACAGAGGAAAAGAATGACAACAATAAAAGCCACATTTCTCTTCGCCGCTCAACTGGCAGTCAAAGCCAAAAGAAGAACAGATATAATGATGGCTTAAATGGAAATTTTTCCATGAGAAGAAAAAGAAGACGATGGTCGTTTAAATGTCTACTTAGTCACAACGCTTTCAGGGCCTCTAATCGTAATTGTGATGAACAGACCGTCTTCAATTGTCCTCAGCAGACAATGTGACATAAAAATTGCATTATTTGTCTATTGTTAGTTCATCTTCAACATTGCAAAAGAACTGTCTTTTACAGCACCAAATTCCACGATGATTTGTCAATTGCAGTCTGTCTTATTTTTTTGGCTCTGGCGCAGCATAAAAGAGTGGTGGAAAATGCGGTGAGATTAAGAGCAGAGATGATAAAAGTTTCCAACGGTCTTTGTTGATTTATTTTTATTAAAGACACCAAGATAAAAATATATGTATAAAAGTTTTTCAGTGCAATCTCGCGTCTCTCTCTCTCTTCACGTTGGAATTCCTTCATTTAAAAGCAAATTAATTTGCACGAAATGCGAGCTTGATGGCGCATAAGAAATGGACCGCCGTGAAATTTGACCGAGTAGAATAGTAAATTATATTTTAAATATAAGAAAAGTCTCGCCCGAGAAGCGCAGCGACAAAAAGTAACAGTTAATCGTGGTGTAATTAGCCCAAATTGTGAGAAGGAGAAGAGGAATTACAGTGTAGAGATTTTAAATAGCGCCCCCCGTGGCTCTGAGACATATCGGTGTGTCGCGAATTTTCACGTAAAGCTAGAAGTCTGAAATTTTTCACCAATCTTCCTTCATTAATAAGTAATGACCATACCAAGTTTGAAGACAATCGGCCTAATCCTTAATCCCTTTATGATATCAAAACCGAGCCAAAGCAGAAAAGCATTCGAGATTTTAAATAGCGCCGTCTCAGCAATCTTTGATTATTGGTCCGGCACATTTATTTAGGGTTCTTAAAGTGGTTCAAATCAATCCGAGGTGTCTTCAGGATAATTATCCTGTACATTTTTAATTTTTATCTGGACTTTATACGTGTTCGATATCAAATTTTGATTAAGTGAAAATCAAATTATGGGGTGTGAACAATAAACGACTCCAGATGATCGTACGGAGATTTTTCGACCGCGCAAGAAAGAACATTTAATCAGGGAGATAACCGGAAGGACCTCTTATCCTAGAAAAAGCATTTAGAGTACAATTGACCGCGTAAAAAGGTCGATTTCGTGGAAAAAAATGTCGCGAACTGGACCGCGAATAACTTTTTTGGCCAATTGTTCAGCATTTTTTGGTGAATTCTGTCATGTCTGCTTCTAAGTTCTATTAGGAATTGTTTCCAAAGATCCCTCCAATTCTTTTAATACCGCGAAGAACAAATTTCATGAGTCTGGGACTAAAAGCAAGAGCGTGGAACAACAATCCCCGAAGTATTATACTACCTCCGCCTTGCTTAAATGTTGTTGTAGTGCACTTGGGGCTGAGTTCTTGGCTTTGGGGAGTCAAACAAATCTCTTATCATCAGACCCATGACGGGTGAACGTCGATTCATCAAAATAGAGAAGGTTTTGCCATTTTCCTGATGCCCGAGATTCGTATTTCCTGTAGAACGCGAATTGCTGGAAACGGTTGGTTTTGAAAATCAATAGGTATCATCTTTGTCACTCTTGCTTTTAGTCCCAGACTCATGAAATTTGTTCTTCGCGGTATTAAAAGAATTGGAGGGATCTTGGGAAACAATTCCTAATAGAACTTAGAAGCAGACATGACAGAATTCACCAAAAAATGCTGAACAATTGGCCAAAAAAGTTATTCGCGGTCCAGTCCGCGACATTTTTTTCCACGAAATCGACCTTTTTACGCGGTCAATTGTACTCTAAATGCTTTTTCTAGGATAAGAGGTCCTTCCGGTTATCTCCCTGATTAAATGTTCTTTCTTGCGCGGTCGAAAAATCTCCGTACGATCCTCTGGAGTCGTTTATTGTTCACACCCCATAATTTGATTTTCACTTAATCAAAATTTGATATCGAACACGTATAAAGTCCAGATAAAAATTAAAAATGTACAGGATAATTATCCTGAAGACACCTCGGATTGATTTGAACCACTTTAAGAACCCTAAATAAATGTGCCGGACCAATAATCAAAGATTGCTGAGACGGCGCTATTTAAAATCTCGAATGCTTTTCTGCTTTGGCTCGGTTTTGATATCATAAAGGGATTAAGGATTAGGCCGATTGTCTTCAAACTTGGTATGGTCATTACTTATTAATGAAGGAAGATTGGTGAAAAATTTCAGACTTCTAGCTTTACGTGAAAATTCGCGACACACCGATATGTCTCAGAGCCACGGGGGGCGCTATTTAAAATCTCTGCACTGTAATTCACAA